TTCCAACCATTTTTTAGGAATAAAAATCCTCAATGTTTACAAAATAATGTTTACTGCTGAGAAAACTGTGTGATTATCAGAAACTTATTTCATGTGAGCTCATCTCAAGATATTCAGATATTGTACTGCGACCAGGAAAATAAGAATCAAGTTTTCATATACCCAAAAATCTAATTCGATTGAGATTTGCCAATCACACACACTCATTCTAATCTACCTCTAGGTTAATTTTTGTGATGATAAAATGGGAAATCACCTTAGCTACAACATAAGGAACCCAAAATTATGTTTAAAAAATCAAATTATTTTATAAACATATTAAGTTTTAAATTGCTATGTTTATTAACTAATTAAAAGTAAAAAGCGAGGCAGCAAACTCAGATGGCTTACTGTCTTTCTAGACAGATGACTAAACAATCTCCGTTTATTTTTTTTTAGTGTTGAAGGACTTCATGCTATTGTAGTATCAGACAGAGATGGTGTACCAGTAATTAAGGGTAAGGAATAATCAAAGAGTGATAAAATGGTGAATTATCCCTTTGCAAATTGATTGCTGCATGCTCGGTATTGAACTGTCTGCTGAAGAACAACATTCCAACCAAAACTGAGGTGACGAAAGGAAGATGTTTCATCTTATATCGTACATCTTATATCTAAGTTTTAGTATGCAACTTCAGCCTGATCCCAAACTGGATTTTTTTCAGTACTGTATAAACTAGCAAGCATGCATCTGCATTAATCATAATTTGGTTACTGCATTCTTGTTGGCCTTTAACATAGTTGTTGGTCAGCAGGAAGCGTAATGCCAGTTCATCAGCCATGATGCACTTCCTTAATGTGACTTACGGAAACTCTGACTTTGAGGAAATCATATGCCAACTTTTTTTGTGGGTGCTTTGAGTTTGAGTGAAAATGTGGGCTCCTTATCTCATGTTCTACGAGGGATGAGTGAAAGCAACTCGTAATAAAAGCTAAGCTGTACACCAAACTTACCTACCAAACCTCTTCTAAAAAGAGGAAGAGGTTTGTCGGATTTCCTAATTACTTTTGATTTGTAAGTTTAAAATGTACTGGTTGATTATATATTGAGGATTTTAATTAATAGCATTTCAGAGAGGACTGGAGCAGGTCGGTTTTTGAAACATACTGATGCAAGAGCCACAGTACTCCTTGCTCTTCCTTGCTGTGGTCACAGGTGTTCCATATTCATGGAAGAGCCAATCCTGTTTCCCAAACTTTCACCAAATGAGTGGACCATTTTTCATAGGTCATGCTGAATCTGCACACCCGGAGGGGTGCCCAAGTTAGAGAAAACTGGCCTATGCTTTTTGACAGCCAGTACTGCTTTTAAAACTCGCTAGATCTTGTCTGGATGTCGAGGACTCAGGAGTTTATACTGTTGCCCAGGAAGATGATAGTTTGCATTCCTGCTTATTCTGTGAACAATTACAAAATGACTTCTTTTTCTAGTTGCCAACGATAACGCCCCTGAGCATGCTCTTCGTCCTGGTTTCCTGTCAACATTTGCACTTGCTACAGATCAAGGCAGCAAACTTGGGCTTTCCAAAAACAAAAGCATAATCTGTTACTACAACACTTACCAGGTAAGAAATTAGCCAACAAAGGTTGCTTGTTAGTGAGAATGCTAGCAGGTAAATAAGTGTAAAAATGCTGCAAAAAAAGTTTTGAACTGGATCAGTTCGGGTGCCACAGAAAAGTCTGTTCGAAATCTATCAGCGCCTATAATTTAAACAGTTTGGGAGTTTAACTGGCATGATGTATGAACCTAAGTCACTAAGGGATTAAGTCAACCTGGGTTTTGTGTGCTAGGTGAATCTGGATTCAATAGTTTGTTTAACAGTATTGTATTGTACAGGTATGCAGCTTATCGGAATATATTAACCCAGCCTGTTTAAAAGATTTATACAATATAAAAAGAAACCAGAATGTTGTTTTGAAATGGGGTATTGTGAAGTTTCATGTACAGGTAGTCCTCAATTTACGACCACAGTTGAGCCCAAAATTTATGTTGCTAAGTGAAAAATTTGTTAACTGAGTTTTGCCCCCTTTTGCGACTTTTCTTGCCAGATTTGGTAAGTGAATCACTGCAGTTATCAAATTAGTAACAAGGTTGTTAAGTGAATCTGGTTTCCCATTGACTTCGCTTGTCAGAAGGTTGCAAAAGGTGATCATATGACCCTGGGACATTGCAGCCTTCATAAACGTGTGTCAGTTGTCAAGCATCTGAATGTAAATCACGTAATCATGGTGATTCTGCAACTATTCTGCAACTAAGTATGAAAAATGCTCATAAGTCACTTTTTTCAGTGCCTTTGTAACTTCAAATGGTCACTAAGCAAACTGTTGTAAATCGAGGACTACCTGATTTTAGATTTAGGTGTGATCTGTGTACCTATGAATATACGCAAAAGACAGCATTAGCACTTTAAGGGTAGGAATAGAGAATGGCTAATGGCTAATCTGCCAGCTAGCAGTATATACAACCCAAACAGGTAAACTGACCATAACAAAAAGACTTACATTGAATGTTGAAGTTGTATTTCTTTTCTTGTAGGTGGTTCAGTTCAATAAGCTTCCTTTGGTAGTGAGTTTTATTGCCAGCAGCAACGCCAATACAGGTACATTTTCAAAATTGAAAAGCCCTGTGTATTCAGCATTTCAGTACTTAGATTTAAAGGATACGGTCTGTGCCCATTTTTTAAGCTATATCCAATTTTTGCAAAGAATTTTGAAATTAGTCGTTCCTGTTGTAAGGAGTAAAAGCTAGACCTAAGTTGAAAGCCTTATACCAAAGCTTTCACAGATTATCCTTGGTCAATATTGGTGGCAGAACCAAACATTTCAATTTTCCTCCAATAGAAAAGGAAATCAATGTCGCGCTAGCAGTGATACCGCTCCTCACCCAAGTAATAAGTTCTTCCTAACACTATGAAAGTGAAGTAATTCCCACTTGTGCCAGTTATGGATTCAGTAGTGCCTCTATATAAAATCTTGGGCCGGGTGGGCAACTATGGACCCTTTACAACCTGTGGGCTTCAACTCCCAGAGTTCCTGAGCCAGCATAGTGTAAGCTATGAGATTGCCCTTCTAAAACAATAGATTAAGATGAAATTTTAATCTTGCTTTCATTCCTGCTTGAGAGACAAAAGTTAATCTTTATATCTCATCTTCTTTGCCTATCTTTACGTAGGTCTGATTGTAAGCCTGGAAAAAGAGCTGGCCCCTTTGTTTGAAGAGCTGTGGCAAGTGGTGGAAGTCTCTTAACTCAGTATTTATATCCAGAGCACAGCAAGTCTTTACTATGAAACAGGGAAAGATTCAGTCAATTTCACACTGTATAATGAATGTCTTGGAGAAAGCGTCACTTTCTCTTATTATATGTTAAAAACTGTACTGGACTGAAATATAAGATAAGATTGGAATAAATGGGCTGTAGCTTTTCCTGTATATCTTAGGTTGCTGGGTGTATTAGTGAGCATAATAACTCCCATGGAGTTAACTTCATGCTAGCACATATTTGATAGTAGAAAAAAAAATACTTTTTGTGTATAATATGCCATCCACAACTTTTTCACTCTACCAGCAATATGTTGCCTCTGTCTAGATAAATGGGGACTAGTGCAAACATACATTTTACAGTCAAATCTTCCTTTATGCTTAGAAGAACATTATTATGGGGGGAACTTGCTTTAATACTGATATGCAATCAATGGTTCTTTGTTTAGATAACAGAATTTTAAACTTCAAGTAGCTATTTGTAAACAAGTAGCTACATGCTAGCTGTTTTTGCAGAGTTCAAATTAATCAGTGCATTCCTCTTTCTGTATTCTTTGTAAAACTGATGTTTTGAATACATGTAATTATGGTACTTTGCTGACTTATCTGGCTTTGTATGTTCCTAAGCAAATCTGAATAAAAAACAGGCAAGGTGTATAGTCTAGTCTGATCATTATCACAGAGATAGCTATTGCAAAGCAACATTATTGCTGTCTTTAATCTCAGTATGATGATTTATATAGTGTTGTTGCCTTGGAGAAAAAAAAAGGCAGGGAAATCTAACTTGGAGTATTTTTTAAATGGGAGAAAGAATTTTGAAAGTTGGAAAGTATAAGAATCATAATATATAAAAAGGAATATTCTATACATGGAAGAAAGCTACTTTGACAGGACATTACCAGCTACATATACGACTGCACTCTAACAAATCGGCTTCAAGTAAAGAACAAATCAGGCATAAAGTGGAGTCTAGACCAGAGCATTGTTTATCAATCATGGCAGCTTTCAGATGTGTAAACTTCAGCTCCCAGAATTCGCTAGCCAGGTGGCCATTGCTGAGAAATCCAGAATTTGAAATGTACACACCTGGAGATTGCCAAGATTGAGAACAAGTAGCTAATGTGCAAGATCCATTCTTACATTTTATGATTTGGAAGTTGTTGCATTTGAGAAACATTGAACCAAGAGAGTATACAAGTACTTTTTTTCCCCCAAAATCCAGTAGTGGAAATATCATTTAAGGAAGATTAGTTATGTAAATCTTGAAAGTGTTTGTATTATCACGATTGTCTTATCCACTGCACAGCTAAAATTGTATTTTCTTTTTGTTCCTGGTTTATTAGAAATTTTATAATAAAAATATAAAATATGATACAATTGTTCCCAATACATATTTATGCGATCCTTCATTCACTTGTTCTTACAAATTCTGACAACAGTGTAACATTTTGAAATGTTCCTATTGGTAAACATAAAAATATTAAATAATAAAACATATGAGAAAACGTGTTTTACAAGATTAAAAAATACAAGAAAATGTTAACAAAAGTGAGAACCATACTTGGTTGTATATATTTTGGAACTCTTAAACAGTATTAATTCTAAATAGCAATTAATGGAAATTAATTAAATAGTAATTCTACATGAATGCCAATTTGTTTCCTAATACGTATGGTGTTATATTTCTTGTTGCGCCACTTTACTTTAAACCCAAGCTGTCTGGCCTCTAAAATTATATTGAATTGGTTTGAGTTAGTGGCATAGAACATCACAATATGTCAAATACATACACTAACTGAAAATTTTATTTCATCCTTCCAAAGACATTAGCTGACAACTGGAGGTAATAAAATGCTAGGCAGACTTATGATTTGATTCTGCAGGCTTCTTATGATCTAGCAAAGGAGGTATGCTCTCCCATGACTTTATGCTTAAGTATGCTGAATATTTGCAGAAAATGTATACTGAACCAGGATCAGAACACAGATATGTATTCAGTGTAAAGCTTCCGAAAGATACCAGTTTCTACTATAGGGCAAATATATTTAAATAGTGTAGCTGAAGCCACATCTTGCCATCTACGTGTGTCTTGAGATGTGCAGTTTCTCTTGGAAAATGGCTACATCGATTTGTCTGCATGGAGAATATCCACTGTGGCATTTTGAGACCTTGCAGTAAATAATGAATGAGAGCCATGGACACAGCCTTTAGAAAGCACAGTACTAACAGCTTTTCCAACTGACTTCGGAACTGACTTTCCGGAACTGACTTCTAAAGTACCATCTCATTTGTCACAATATACAGGTAGTTCTCAACTTATGACCACAATAGAACCCAACATTTATGTTGCAACACAAAACAGTTGTTAAGTGAGTTGCGCCGCATTTTACAACCTTTTTTGCCACAGTTGTTAAGCGAACCACTGCGGCTATGAATCCGACTTCCCCCATTGACTCTGCTTGTCAGAAGCCAGCTGGGAAGGTTACAAACGGTGATCACATGACCCTGGGACAATGCAGCTGTCATAACTACATGCCAGTTGCCAAGCGCCCAAATTTTGATCATGGGACCACGGGGATGCAACGATCATAAGTGTGAGAGCCGGTCACGACTCATGTTTTTCAGTGCCATTTTAACTTTGAACGATCACTAAACAAATTGTCATAAATCGGGGGCTACCTGTACTCCCAATATTAAAAAAATATCTTACTTGCTCATAGAAACGTGTCCCACTAGCAGTAATCATCGATAATGATTGCTCATCAGGGAAGTCAAAATTACAGAAGTTCTGAGAAAATGATTTTAGCAGACGAGTCTTAACAGTCAAAGCCACAGATGAAATGAAAACTTATTTTTTTAAAAAAACTGTGCAGGTAATGTGTCTTAATAGACCAGAGTGTAAATGGTTTGAAGCATATGGAATGGCAGCCAGGGATGAGCAGGTTTGCAACTAGTTAAGGTTCATGCTATGAAACTAAGTACTTTGAAACTGCTTACATAAGAACTAGTGAAAACCTGGCAGCAAACAGTAACTAGTAGGCGTATCCAGAATAATGAAACGTTGAATAGGTGAATATCCATCTTCCAAGGTAATCGTCTTCTGCTTCTAACAGAGTGTTTAAGAATTTCCTAGAAATAAGTTGTCAGCAAGTCGGCAGCTGCAGAGTTTAAAAACCTCTGATCTGATCTGGTGCAGCACTTCTTAATGCTGAATAACGAATCTGAAGGTGTATGAATACGAGCCGATGTTGGTTTCTGCAGTTAGTATTTGTAGCCAAAATTACTATGGCCTGAGTGTGGTGTCACGCTGGCGTTTTTTCCTTATCTGGGACTAGGGGAAAAAATGTAAAGGGGATAATATTTGTTGTTGAAATGAATTTGTAAATAAAAGTAAATTAAAATACCATGTAATTTAAGAGCTGCTGATATCCTCTGCATGTTGCTAGGCTACATCTCCCATCATCTCTAATCGGTTCACTATAGTATATATCATATACAATAAGCAGTCTATCGGGAGTGGGCAACTATGACAACTTTACAACCTGTGGACTTCAACTCCCAAAATTCCTGGCTGGCTCAGGAATTCTGGGAGTTGAAGTCCACAGGTCATATAGTTGCCCATCCTTGTAGTATATGGTAACTAGCAATAATTAGAACTATAGCTCACCTAGAAGATCTGTTTGAAAGTACAATTTGTTCAAAATGCAGTGGGTCTCATGTTAATATAAGGTTGCCATAAGCACAATATTGTTATCGCAGTTGCTGAATTGGCTGGTCAGAGGCCATGTTTGGGAATAGCCTCCCTTCAGAGAAAAGCTTAGTACCCTCATCACCAGCTTTCTGGAAACGAGTGCAAAATGCAAGTCTTATGAAGGGCATCTGGGGATTGAAAAGCAGTCAGCTTTGCATTTGTATTTGCTATATTGATACTTGTTTATATTACTGACTTTTATTGTTGCAGCAAATATTCAATATGTCTTATAAATGTAAGCCCCTGGGAGCCCTTATTATGGCTGGATATTAAAGAAGTAAATAAAACAAATAACACTACAAGAGGGCCAATAATGGGCAAGACTTCTCAAGTTTATATACAGTATTTTAAGCAGGATTGACTGAATAAAGATGAAAGAGGATAGTTTGATAAGACACCAGCATTAGGGAAAAGAAGGCCGGTGTACCAGAAACTGAAAAAGAAAATAGGTCCTATCATATAAATGACTACACGTGACTCGGTTATTTGAATTTAAAAATATTTCCCTTCAAATCATTCCCCCAAATCATTTGAGCATTTCGCAACTTTTTTTTAAATTTCTCAGACCGAATCATTAAACTTGGTGAATTCTATGCATACTTTTTCTTTTTAAAAGTAGTCACTAAAGCAAATGGCCTGAGCTTTTTATTAAACCATTTTACATATTTGACTTGGAAAATGTAAAGCAACAATTCTGCCTTGGTGCTGTCATCATCCCATAATACCCCTGCTGATTTCAAAGATCAAAAGAGGTTTCAAACAAATACACCATTGTGAATAAACTACTGTCCCAACTGCAAATTTAGCCTCATGCCTAGTTTCTCGTTCCTACCAGAAAAGCAAATCACTCCATTTTTCCAGAGCTGAGATTCCCCATTCAGCATTTAATCCAAATCAATTCCTCACCTACATTACCCTTCTCATTCACTAAAAGCCTGTTCCTGCATCATAAAACCTTAAGAGCCTTGGTAGTACAGTGGTTTAAGGCACCCTGTTATTAAGCTCGTTATTAAGACCAGCTGCCTGCAATTACTGCAGGTTCGAATCTCGCCAAGGCTCAAGGTTGACTCAGCCTTCCATCCTTTCTAAGGTAGATAAATTGAGGACCCAGTTGTGGGGGCAATAAGCTGACTTTGTATAAATATACAAAAGGATGAAGGCTATTGCTGAGCACATTGTAAGCCGCCCTGAGTCTCCGGAGAAGGGTGGCATATAAATCAAATTAAAAAAAAAAAATTCATGTGACTACCCACACTGAGCACCATTGTGCAGTATTAAAGGATCACTTAAAATTCCAAATAACAGCTTTTGGGGGTGTATGTGGGGGGCAGTTTCATTATGACTGAATCACCTGCACCAGCTAAGCTCCAGAAGACTGCAGAGACACACTACAGAGAAAAGCGAAGTTGAGTGTGCTCTGTGACATGCATAGAAGCATTGGACCCTCATGATTAGTATAGTTTCATTTCCTTTGGAAAAAGAACATAGGAAACTACCATATATCAAGTCACATTCTTGGGCAATCTAATTTGGTGGTGTTTGTACAGTGTGCAGTTGCTCTTAAAATCTGTTTGTTATCTGGAGTTAAGAAGGATTAAACTTGGAGCCGATACGGATGGTCCTTGATTTACAACTACAATTGAGCCCAGAGCTTCTGTAGCTAAGCAAGGCAGTGGTTAAGTAACTCACACTCCATTTTATGACCTTTTTTGCTATCATTGTTAAGTGAATCATTGCAGGTAACTGAGTCATGCGGTCATTAAACGAAACTGGCTTCCCTCATTGACTTTGTTGTTAGAAACTCCCTGCAAATGATAATCCCAGTGTTGTTGTAACTCTGAATGGTCACTGAATGGTTGTAACTCAAGGACTACCTGTATAAGCAAAGAAGCAGAGTAGGGAATGTTTAAATATCCATGAGTATGTGTGTTGTAATTTTCTCTTTTTAAATATTTCTAAGGCTACCCTTGTGGGATTAAATTAGAGAAATCAGCACGGTCAGCATGAACTATTCTTTGTCACTTCTTTGTCATTTAATTCTAATCAAATCTTCTGTGATGGACATTTCCTTACCAGTTTCCACTGCAATATTTTAATCCACTCATCGGCTTCTACTCCAGTCTTTGCATACAGGTAATACGTCCGCATTGGAAATACTAAACTGTAAAATATAACATTTATAAACTTTCTGTGTCACAAATATAAGGACACCATAGTCACCTCCAATATTAATATTCCATTTTTCCAAAGAAACTAAAGCTAAAAATATTATTTGATTTATTTTTTTAAAGTCCTACTTTTCTTTTTAAAAGAAATAGAAAATAATTGAGGTAATATATGAAAATTGACCAAACCCTTGTGATAAATATAATAATAGCATTAGTTATTAAAAAAACAAATCAGAAAAAAACCTATCAGCAGTAAAGATGCATCCAAAGTACTCCATTCAATGTGAATCAGAGATATTACCAAATGCAGAGCCTTCAAGGATATGAGGCCTATTCATTTTATTTCTGAGATAGCAGAAGGTAGGACTGCTTTTTTATTTTTTTTAAAGTACAGGTAATCCTCATTTAGTGACTGTCTCATTTACAACCATTTGCAGTTATATTGGCAATGAAAAAATAACTTTACAAACAATCCTCACATTTAACAACTTTCAGCAAAGGAAAGCTGAAGTAAGATCATAAAAATTATTACAGTTTCACTTAAAGGCTGCTTTGCCAAAGAACTGTGTTATTGGTAACAACTGTGGTCGCTAAAAGAGGATTCCCTGTAAGTTAAATGCATATTTTGTTATAATTAAAGTACATTTACAGAATTCAAAGGGAGTAACTCCACTGAGTTGAAACACAATTATAGTCCAAGACCAAGTACGAACAGGTAAATTATGGAAGCTGCTGTTGAGCTTGTTTGCTAGGATGGCTAAAAATGCAGCTTTTTATTTCAGTCTTGAGCAATACATACAGTATATGCAAGAGGAGCTAAGCAATCAAATAACATGCATGGGTACCCTGCTTTTTCCTAATTAAACTAGAATTCTTGGAATTCAAGCAGAGCCCTTTTCTAAAGCTGTTCAGAAAAGAAGAATAAAAGGAGAGCAGGAAGCAATTAGTTCTGATGGCAAACTGACAAATCAAGGAAAACCAGCACAATGTCTTAATTGAAATCATGAGAGATAACAGTAATTTGGTTAGCAGTGAGGTGAAGAAGACAAAAGAAGAAAAAGTTTACACAGAATAGCACTGAGAAACTTTTAAAGAAAGAAAAGACACACTAGGATACCCCAAAGTTGTATTTAAGCATCAACTTACCAAAAGCAATTCACTTTTTCTTGGGAATAGTCAAACTGCACTGCTGAGCATTCAGTTAAATCGAGTGCTCTGATTGGCTCTGTGGACTTGAAAAAATGTTCATTTTTGAAACAATTGCTCTGTGTTATCATTTAAAATGGTTACCCACCTCGCCCCATCACAGACATCAGGTAAGAAACAGAACAGTAAACAAAACCCTACAGACAAAAGATTATTTTGCACTCACTACTGAGTTTGACTTAATACATTGCAAAAGACGTAGTACAAATGGAAGGAAAAAGAAGACCCTTAAAAAAAGAAATCCAACGTGGATGGATTTTCCTTTTCCTCCAATAGAAATGAATGTAGTTTATCCTGCTATAGCTTTATTTGTACCCTATGACTATCATTAAGTGTTGTACCTTATGATTCTTGATGAAGGTATCTTTTCTTTTATGTACACTGAGAGCATATTCCTTGTGTGTCCAATCACGCTTGGCCAATAAAAAATTCTATTCTATTCTATTCTATTCTATTCTATTCTATTCTATTCTATTCTATTATTCTATTCTATTCTGGGTTCTTCTGAGTACATTTCTATAAAGGAGGGGCGACCCACATCTTGGGGCCATGCTTAAAAAATTGTTATTGGCCTCCAAAGGCCACAAGATCTATATCACATCAACTGTTGTGGTGATACCAATGGGGCACGGCAACCTCATTTTATTTTACAGAGTTGAGGTGTACATAGCAAATATTATTAAACCTTGACACCTTGAAGAGACTATTTTGGTGTCCAAAATGCATAATTACAACACAGAAAATAATGGTTGCCACTAAATTTCAGGGGAGAATTTGGAAGCTAGGGAGAAATGTGCAGTTTGCATTTCCTTACTCTGCTGTAAAGGAAGCATAGTCATTGATAGAATAGAGGTGGCATGTAAGCGTAGCCCACTAACTGAACTGAGACACCACAGAATAAAAATGGCGTTGAGTACGAAGTCCATGTTGCTTGGCACTCAGTTTTGCAATAGCTATTTTGGAAACATGGGACAAAGAGTATTTCCAGTACCTTATTGATTGCTTTGCGTTAGCTTTCACAAGCAACAGAGTAAAACACAACTCACCGTCTGATCTTTGTAGTATTTCAGCTCATTCCTATGCAGTGTAAACCACCTAGTTTTCCAGTTCTAAAAGAATCAAGAGAAGGGAAATTGAAAGAAATACAACATGAAATAAGCAACACATACTGGGGGGAAAAAATCTCTTTATTCCCTTCCTCACCATGATACTACAGGTAGTTCACAACTTATGACTACAATTGAGCCCAAAATTTCTGTTGCTAAGTGAGACAGTTAAGTGAGTTTTGCCCCATTTTACAACATTTCTTGCCACAGTTATTAAATGAATATCTGCAGTTGTTATTTAGTGAATATGAATCTAGCTTCCCCATTGACTTTGCTTGTCAGAAGGTTGCAACAGGTGATCACATGACCCCGGGACATTGCAACAGTCATAAGAATGAATCCGTTGCCAAGTATCCAAATTCTGATCACATGACCATGGGGATGCTGCAATGGTTGTAAGTGTGAAAAATGTTCATAAGTCACTTTTTGTTAGTGCTGTTGGAACTTCAAATGATCACTAAACAAATGGTTGTAAGTTGAAGACAACCTGCATCTAACACATATAGCATCTCCCATACTGGATGCACCTATGTGGACAGGAAATGCAACTTGCATCAACAAGGTAAGAAAGAAACAGGTAAATGAGACCTGGAGATGCCGCAGAGTAGCCTTCCCTAATCTGGAAGGCGCTAAACACATTTGGAAGATACCAGGTTGGAGAAGGCTACCTGAGAGGAGGTTTAAGTCGCACTGGAAAAGGAAATACAATGGTAGGATGGCTCAGAAGAAGATTCTAGAAGTAAGGAAGACAAGACAGACAGTTTAGACAGTTTATGACAATTTAGTAAGTGAAAAGGAAGAGGGTGTTGCAACCTCCTACATGACATGAGATGTGAACAGGAAAAGACAACAGATAAATCAACATGAAAAAGGAGAAGTGAGATTGAGGCCATACGCAACACAAGTGAGATTAGAGAAAAGCTATGGGTAGTCTGACCAGTAAACTCATAAAGCTCATGGAAAGAGACTGAGATTGGCTACTTAGTTCTCTGATTTGAGAATATTCAAAAGTCAATTCAGTCAATACATTGAATATACTGTAACTCTAAATTTGATAGAAAGCTGGATCTAAAATTTAGTCCTAATTATCATCTACAGCAACTGTTTTTAATCACATAACTCAACTATTCAAAATAACATTATTTTTCTTTCTTTTACTATGAATATGTGTGCCTATGGCTTGATAAAGCCCATATCAGTATATTGTGCATGCTGTCTGGGGAATTCTGACAGTCCACACAGCTTAAAGTTGCCAAGGTTGAGAAACTCTGCCTTAGAAGTTTTCGAAGGTCTATGCTGTGATCTCAGCCTGAAATCAGGAAAAATGAGGTGGCCACACCTAATTCAGAAAGGGACAATTGTGAGAGAAGCGGGAAATGAAGAAACAATTCCAAACATGGTACTGAGAGGAATAAGTGAAACAGCCAAAAGATTTTGGCAGAAATACCACTCAAACAATTCAAGATGGCATCCGTAGACATAATGCACATAAAAAAAGGGAGGGGCGGCAGCACACTGTTGGTTTTTCAGCACTTGAGGTGAAAATCCAAGAAGTACCTCTCTGCTCTATAGCAAGAAAAATGCATTTTTAAATAAATACACCATTTGCTACCTTTTCAAAATAAGCCACCAAAAGCAGCTTCATATAGCTCTCTACTTCATAGACCTTTCGTTAAGATAGTATCCCCCAGGAACGTTGGACTATAACTCCCATCATCATAACCATACTGGCAGGGAATTATAGGGGTGATAGTCCAACGTGCCTAGAGACTGCTATGCCAAGGAAAAGTAAGTTTCTTAACAATACAACGATTGTTGGATATTATGTAAACAGGTATTCCAGATCCTATTTTGCTCACACATGCCCAATACAATTTTCAAGCACTGCTCCTTAGCATGTTCGATTTTTAATGTGTAAGGGGAAAAAACAATAGAACAATTTTTAGATTGCTTACCTTAACTATTTTGCCTTGTTTCGTTAGATAACCTTCTTTAGTCCCTAACTATAATGAAACACAGGAAAGTTTATTAGGATGGTTGAAAAGGATGTCGGGGAATAGGGGAAAGGACGAGGCAGGAAGATCTTAAACATGAGTCTTTTCAGAGTCTTGATGTGGCTGACACAGCAAAAGAGGTTGGTAGTTTTCAACTGTAATTGTTCCTTTTCTCTGATAAATGAGTTATCTGCTCCCAGTTCCCAAGAGGTTCATTTCACTGTACAACTATGCAAAATTTATTTTCCCAATAAATTGGTGAAATATTCCCTCTGGCTACATGTATTAAAGTGGGTGCTGACTATAATGCATGAAATACATATTGTAAAGGGATCAAACCTAAACAATAAGCAGCTGAGCATCCTTTGGTCATCACAATTCATATAGTTTATCAAATCAATCAACATTCATATGCAACACCCAGTAAGGGCAAAATGGAATTGGGTCATCTGCAATTCCCTGCATCATAAGGAAATCCAGCCATTAACTTAGAATATTGTATGAACTAAACATCCCATTGAATCATAATATTGAGAATACCATATGATATAAACACAGTGGTTGTGTTTTGTTAACCAGGTTTAAAATTTAGACCATTGTATGATCCCAGTCTTCATGTTCATGGATCTTTATGCTATAAGTTACATTAATAGATGAAGGGAGGTGTGATGGTTCAGCGGTTAAAGACGCTGAGCTTGTCAGCTGGAAAGCTGACTGCCTAGGATCGAGACTCAATCACTGCATGACGGGGTAAGCTCCCATTACTTGCCCCAGCTCCTGCCAACCTAGCAGTTCAAAAAAATGTAAATGCGAGTAGATAAATAGGTACTACTTCAGTGGGAAGGTAACAGCATTCCGCCTCAGTGTATCGTCATGCTCGCCACATGAGCATGGAAGTGTCTTCGGGCAATGTTGGCTCCCTTGGCTGAGAAACAGAGATGAGCACAAACACACCCCTAGAATCAGACACAACTGGACACGGGGAAACCTTCACCTTTAATTGCTGAAATGCACCATTTGGAGGAATAACATTTTCTCACTAAGACCATTTTTCCCAAACTGATGTCTTCTACATTTGCCAAGTCTTCAACCCCAAGAATTTCCAGCCTGGATGCTTTCTTCTAAAGGATTCACTTTAATCAAAATCTTATCCTAATTCCATAGTAAACTATGGAATTTTTTTTCTCCAACCAATAGTCCAACTAGGAAAAATAGGAACTCACCGATGGAGCACTGGGAATGAGGTCAATTTCTGTTCTTCCTGTCTGCATAGCGGTGTGGACTCGCACAGATTCATAAATGGAAGGCTCTTCTACTTTCTTGGGATATGGATGCTTCAATACAATCAAAGTCCCTATAAGAAAGAAAACCCTAAGTAGCCCATAAAAGTGAATTCTGAGCCTTTTCCCTTACATAACAGGATGTCCCAAAGGTGCTTTTTCAAGAGGCAACTGGACTTTCTTGTTTTTCTTTCTTTCGCTTCTCATCCAAGTTCATAAAAGCATTGCATAACATAGGAGAACAAACCAGGGGTGAGCTTCAAAAGTTTTAGCAAGGGGTTCTCTGCCTTGTTGCTGGGTGGGCGTGGCCATGGTAGGCATGGCCTAGTCGGCCTCCTGCACCATGGAGGGGGGGGCTTTTTGCCCTCTCTGGGCTCTGGAGGCTTTCCTCGAGCCTCCAGGAGGGCGAAAATGGTCTTAGGCTCTGGAGGCCTTCTGGAGGCCAGAAACGGGCCTGTTTCCGTTTCCCAATCTTCCGGTAGGCCCGTTTTTTGCCCTCCCTGAGCCTCTACAAGTGCCCTGCATTTACCTGCATCCAAAACGGGCTGCGTGGGGACTCCTGGGAGGGGAGGGGTGGGCGGGGCTGACCAGGAGTGGGATTTGGGGATTCTCCAAACTGCACAGAATCTTAGCTACAGGTTCTCCCAAACCCCTGTGAACCCCCAGCAGCCCACCTGGAACAAAACCATCAGGACAAGATTCAGCAGTCCATCTACATTTAAAAGGCACAGGCCACTCTTTTGAAGACAGCAAAGTTCACATTTTGGACAGAGAGGACTGCTAGTTTGAAAAAGGAGTCAAAGAGCCCATCTATGTCAAAACTGAACAGCCCTCTCTCAACAGAGGGGGAGGGATGCGACATCTATCTCCAGTATACAACACAGTCCTTTCAGCAGTTCCAAGAAGGCTTCTTGAAAAAGTACCTTTGGGACAACCATGACCTAGATGACTGAAAATCTCCCTAGATGTGTAATAGGATGCATGCAAAAAAGAAAAAAGAAACATAATCTTAGAAAGCCATTACAACATATCCCTTACTATATTTATCTAGATCTAATCTAGCATCCTGCTCTATAAAAATTAAACACTTTGATAACTTAACAAAGTATCAAAAGATATTTGTCTATTTTTGTTTTACATTTCTCCCTTTATCTCAGATTCATCAAAAACCTACTGAGATCTCCTTCAGCTTCACCGTAGCTGAAGGCTTTGCCCTCACTGATCTAAAAAGTACAATTTGCAAAATATGTCAACCTACAGGGAAGTATCCCTGCACTTTGATGTATTTTGGCATGGACCTTCTTCCCAGCTAAATAATAAATAAAGCCCCAACAAGGTGCAGTACATAGATACAGTACCTCACCTTATCCTAAAACCTAAACAAGTTACTAGTTGAAGAAGAGACTACCAATCTTAGAGTTGTTGGCTATTGAACAAGGAATTGAACAAGCATCCCAGAAAAAGGTAGTGACCAGCCATTTCTAGATCGTTGCCAAGAAAACTACATGGCATCTCCATGAAATCACCGGCTGAATTTGACTCAAAGGACACCTTGCTTATTATAGAGTCCTTGATGCTCTCTAAGCTTGGTTCTGTGCTTGCCGACATTTTGTTACCTGACATCCGCAGTACTAGTGAGTGTGGACTTTGCTGCCTGTTTATACACAGTAGTTTGCTATGCCAATGTTTGGCAGGGGCAGGGAGGGGGGATCACCTAGAGTTCCTTGATTAGGGTACTGTTTTCAGCTTGATTGTCTGGTGTTACTCCCTGCTTATCTGGGTGAGGATGTGTCTGTTCTTTTTGTTTCCTTTGTACCTTTTTTATTGTCTCTTTTGAATGGTGTGTAAATTTGGTTTATCTGTATGTATCTATTGATGACTGATTTGTGTCAGCATGCAGGAATTCCCTATCATTTTTGGATTTATCTTGGTCTGGGATGTTTACAGTCTCTCAATTGAAACTATGATTGAGACGGTCCATGTGTTGTGAAATTAAGGACTTGCCATGTTTTTGCTTGTTTTTTAGTAAATATTTAAAATGTTCCTTTTTAAAGTGCTTTTAAATATTGCTTCATATTATAAAGGTTAGGATTAGGGTTATAATAGAATCCCAAAATCAAATGAAATAGTTGATATTTCAGATAAAAATAACCATTATCTGTAATCATGAAAGAGTTTCATTCCAGATTGTTCTCTGGCCTATGGAAAGAGAAATATAATCTATTGATGCAGGATCCAATTTGAATCAGTCACCAGGACCAGAAGTTTTGTCTTCTGAGCTTTCGGATTCATGCTAGAGCCCATCTTCAGGGAAATGAAGTGACCGACACAGATTGGATCCTGCAACATTATCCTTGGACCCTTATTAAACCTTCTTTGTGGAGTTTGGGCTGTTATGGTAATTGGTTTTTTTGGTGTTAACTTTCCTTTTCTATGCATTGCTTCATATAGAAAAATAACATGGAAGGGAACAAGTTTATAGGTATTATGAGGTCTAACACCTATCTCCCAGCTGGTGGCACTTTCCATTTTAAGAACATGAAAGGAGTTTCACAGAGCCAGCAGAATCTGATTTGGGAGTTGGTAAACCATAGGCCAAGTCTATCATTCAACACTGGAGATCAAATTCACTATTATATAGTGTGAATTTCTTCGCTGTTAACAGATGTAACAGATGGCAGGATAGCCGGTGGTGAAGGAAAACCACAATAATGTACAAGGTGCATTAGAAATATTTAAATTGAATAAACAGGAGAATTCCTAGGCAATAACATATAGTGTATCTAAGATGCAAGCCATGAGAAACAATTTCTGTTAGTTAGGACTGGAGTAGAGGACCTTTCTAAAAGAGTAAGGCTGTTTCTATGGTCCTTGAATAAAATAAAATTCAATGGATACCAAGGATGATACCATAATCAGCAAATGGTGGGATGTTATTACTTTAACTAGGCAACTTGCATCACTATTCATAGGATATCAAGTGGTTTCCCACTCAAACATGAATGGAAGTTAAATCTGTCTGTCTTTAACAAAATTGGTATCTAAAGCTAGTCCTTAAGTTAGGACCATAACTAAAACTAGAATTTTGGTTTCTAAGCAAGGCGGTTGTTATGCCCAATTTTACAGACTTTTTTGCCATTGGTTGTTAAGTGAATCATTGCAGTTAAGTGAATCATGTGATCAATAAGTGAATCTGGCTTCCCCCATTGACTTTGTTTGTCAGAAACCAGCTAGAAGATTGCAATTGGCGATCACATAATTCCAGGATGATGCAACCATCATAAAAACATGCTGGCTGCCAAATGTCCAAATTCTGATCACATGATCACAAGGATGCTGTGATGGTTGTAAGTGTGAGGAACAGTTGTAAGTCACTTTTTTGAGTGCCATAGTATCTTTCATCACTAAACAAATGTTTATAAATCAAGGATTGCCTTCCAAATAGAACAGAACAGAATTACAGAGTTGGAAGGGACCTTGGAGGTCTTCTAGTCCAACCCCTTGCTGAGGCAGGAAACCCTACATCATTCAGACAAATGGTTTTCCAGTCTCTTCTTAAAAACTTCCAGTGTTGGAGCATTTACAACTTCTGGAGGCAAGTCACTCCATCGATTAATTCTTCTAACTGTCAGGAAATTTCTCCTTAGTTCTAGGTTGCTTCTCTCTTTGTTAGTACCTGTATCAAGCCTCTGATTTCTCCCCTGATCTTATTAATTCTATGTTTGGAAACAATGTACAGGTATTCTTTGACTTATAACAATTCATTTAGTGACCGTTCAAAGTTACAATGGCACTGAAAAAAGTGACTAAAGACAATTTTTCACACTTATGACCGTTGCAGTATCCCCATGGTCACATGATCAAAATTCAGATGATTGACACCTGACTCATATCTATGACCGTTGCAGTGTTCTGGGTTCACGTGATCACCTTTTGCAACCTTCTGACAAGCAAAGTCAATGGAGAAGTCAGATTCACTTAACAACCGCCTTACTAACTTAACAATTGCAGTGATCCACTTAACTGTGGCAAGAAAGGTCATAAAATGGGGCAAGACTCACTTAACAAATAGGTTTCTATTTGCTTAGTGACAGAAATTTTGGGTTCAATTGTGGTCGTAAGTTGAGGACTACTTGTATTTTGGAAGTATAAAGAAATGGATTTTTAGCTGTACCGTTGTTTTGCCCTCTTAATGAAGGGCAGAAAAGAACTAAGGAGATACACTCTATTTTCTCAAACTGATGCTCTGGGTCAGCAAAGACTTAAACACTAGAAAAACAACGGGAATGATCAGGATGTTTGTCATCTTAAAGCACTCCCATGGATTTTCATGTGCCCTATAAATCAGGGAATCCTCAAATGTGTTTAAATTGAATCCCAGTGTCACAGTGCCTGATCCTGAGTATAGAAAAGCAAAGCATTTGAAAGATTCGAACAAAAGTACAGTAGGGCCTTCCTTGTGCAAAGGGAGAATTCTCTTAATACAAAACCTCACTGAAGTGATACTGCCAAAAAAAACAGAACAGAACAAAACAAAACAAAACCCCCTGTGAATTGCTTATTGCTCCTTTTATCATCCTTTCCTTTCTCAGAACAGCCAGGTATTTTAGCATTCTTAAAAGTTCAGCCCATTGATCTTACTTGACACATAATGAGTTGATAATAGGAGCCTCTTCTTCATCTGGACCTGCTCCAGTAGTAGTTGCTCATCAAAAATCTGAAGCATATCTTGTGTTAAATAGCAACCTATTTAGGGACTGTAACAACAGAGCTCAAGTTTCTAGGCACTGTGTCAGTTGGGGCCAGTCAATGAGTTTTAATACTTGCATCAGGAAATAGACTTGACACTTGAACAAGATTAAACCATTTCTGCCCTTAAACTAAATGTATGCTTTCTTAAACTACCTGGAATGATTTATTCAAGTATTTATTTGTGTAATAAAACTAAGTAAGGTATCCCAAATGTATTAGATGCAGCATTGTTAGCCAAACCAAACTAAACTGTTTGTATCAAGATGGTTTTATTTAAAATTTTAAGCTGTATAAGAATGGATCCAAAGATTTCAAAAGAAGTCTATGTAGATTCTCAGTCATCCAGGTCATGGTTGTCCCAAAAGTGCTTTTTCAAGAGGCAACTGGACTTTCTGTTTTTTCTTTGAAAATGTTTCACTTCTTGTCCAAGAAGCTTCTTCAACTGAGCTGAGAAGCATCTTGGATGAGAAGTGAAACAGCTTCAAAGAAAAACCAGAAAGTCCAGCTGCCTCTTGAAAAAGCACCTTTGGGATTTCAAAAGAAGAACTGCAAAGGAATTACTTCTGTGGAATCAGTCCAGCAAAACCAAGAGTACCAGTGATTTTAACAAAACACACAGTTATTAATAGGAAAACTACTGGTTATGAAACAGCCACTGTTTGCAACTTTTATCTTTTATTTAAAAGGCAGCAGAAAAAAAACTCCTTGAACTGAAGGAGAGCAGAAATACTGAAGGAAAAGGTATTTAACTTAATTAACATTGTTATTGATCACTTCTCCAACTGTTGTATTAGAACTATTTCTTAATTAAACTTACATCTTTCTTTCCACTACCAATACTATCGTTTGCCACTAGACAACCAACAAATAAGGGACAAAATTATATTTAAAATGTATCACACCTCTAGTTTAGCACATTCATAAAAACAAAAAGGTATCACCCACAAGGTTAAAATTTATTTCAGCAAAAAGGCTGCAGAATTGCATGGGGAAAAAAGAACTTTTCACTTGCTAGAAAAAAAGAAGAAAGCATTGGAATCATCCAACTTTGCAACTCCTCCCCTTGCAAGGGGTTCCCAAAACTGGAACTGGCCCCCAAGAAGGCCCCTTTCACATTCATACAGAGCATGCTTCTTCTCTCTAAATGGTCCTAAAGTCACAGGGAACCTGATGGAACATAACCAAAAATGCTTGTCTTTAAGGGAGTCATCATGTGACCCTCGCCCAATTTTATTACCTTTTTTTGCAACAGTTTTTAAGCAAAATCATGTGTTTGTTAAATGAATCCAACTTCCCCCACAGACTTGTCAGAAGTCCCGTGGAAAGTCACAAATAGTGATCATGTGACCCCAGGACCGTTATAAATACATGCCAGTTGCCAGGCCCCCAAATCTTGCTCATGTGACTATGGGGAAGCGGCAATGCTCATAAGTCTGAGGACCTGGTCATTAAAAAGTGCCATCATAACTTTGAACGGTCACTAAATGAATGGCCATCGGTATATAACTACCATTAAGGTGTTTTGCTTCTTTTTCATTTGAAGCCATTCTTTTTCTTTTTTAATTTGATTTATATGCCACCCTTCTCCGGAGACTCAGGGCGGCTTACAGTGCGTTAAGCAATAGCGGCCTTTACCCTGGCCTCTTTGATGGCAAGAGAATTTAAGGAAACGAAAAGCTTTTTCTGTAAAGCATTTAATTAAATGCATTGTGATTTTTTGTGCCCTACTCTCCTCATATCCTGAATCCACAATGTACATAACATTTATCCTATTATGAAATGTTTTCTAGTATGCAATATAGATTAACAAACTACTGTTGCAATACCTGAAGATCTGACAGCAAAAAATAATTATTAAATATTTAATTATTAAATATTAATTTAAATATGAAGAACTTTGTTAAAGGCAGCAAAAACCTATAAAACGTACGAAGGGGAGGATTGATCTGAGGATATAAAAAGGAGCTTTGGTTTAAAGTAAAGTTACAACATAAAATCTTTAAATTAAATTTTCACAATACAATATTTTAAAAGGAAGAGAAAAAGAAAATTTGGATTACCTGTCTCGCTACCTATTAATGGCTGATTCGCAAAATGCATGATCAGTTCTTTCAAGTCTGAAAATTCATTGAAGCCAAACTTGTATGAATTCCCTGTGTATTCCACATGAAAATGCTTTACAGAATCTTTTGCTCTGAAAAAAAGAAAAGAAAAGGAAGTGGTTAACTGTACAAACTGTTTGTATTGGTTCCAGAAGACCATTAAATAAGAAAGTTAGCAACAAGAAACTCCCTTATCTTCATAAGGAACTTATTCACGCTTTCCTTCATTCCCAGTTGTCTAAGCCTATGATACTCTCCACCATCCATCTTTTGGAAAAGATCATAAGCTTCATTTTGAGAAAGTTAAGTTTCATCTTATATTACTCCACTTATTATTTTCCTTTGATGTATACTAGCCTTCCTTAGCCTGGTGCCTTCCAAGTACTGTATGTTGAACTACACTTGGCCATGCTTACCAAGAACTTTGGAAGTTGGGAGGCTTCCATATACGAGTTCCGTACCAGACTGAAAGCAATCCCATGCTTCTATGTAACTTAATCAGCACTGGTGAGCTGAGCTAAATCAGCTTGTGGCTCAACTGCCTTAAAGGAGCAATTATGAAGCTCTTGATGATTTTGAGCTAAGGTAGCTTCATTTTTCCCACTGGAGAGAACTGTTGGTTTACTCCTCTTCCAGTTCCTCAGCTTCAGATCTTATGAGAAATGTTAGCTCGATGGCTTTGAGGCGCTTTCTCAGTAGCCCAAAAGAAAAGAGCAGGAATAAAATTGTATTTTCAGGTCTTGTTCTCAGCATTTCAAATAGAAGAAGTTAAGACAATCAAGAGATTTACCTATTTGTCACACCATTTATTCTGTGCCTCTGACTATCATCTGACTACCATCAGCTAGACAAAATTAATAGGAAGACTAAGCATATAATATCACTAAAACTAATGCATTATCACTTCAAAAACATGAATTTCAGATTGTAATTCTCAAAATTATAATAAATGAAAGGTCATTCTAGTTTGCATGTATTTGAGACTTCAGCATTTTACAAAACAAATCTAAGCAAACAGTCATTATTTTTAATGTAAGTTGAATATATGTTTTTCTTGTAAGCTGAAATCCAAGCAAATATGTGTAACCTACAAAAATAATGTCTCAGGGGTCACAGGTAGTCTGTAGTTCATGAGTTTCTAGTTCTATTTTAGCACAATGTTATATAAGATACTGTGGTCATATGTTCAATGCAGGTAATCCTCAACTTACAACCACACTTGGGACTGGAACGTCCATCTCAAAGCAATGTGGTTGTTAAATAAGTCCATTTTTACAACTTTTTTGCCACCGTTGTTAAGCAACTCCAGCTTGACTCATTGACTTTGTTTATCGGAAGCCCCCTGGAAAAATTGCAAATAGCAATCACATAAACTTGTGATATTGCAACCGTTGTAAATACATGCAGTTGCCAAGCACCCAAATATTGATCATGTGACTACAGGCACCAAATGCAAGGCACTTTTTTCAGTACCAGCGTAACTCAACTGGTCATTAAATGATTGGTCATAACTTTAGATCATTTGCACTATGCTTAACACATTAACTGATTAATTATGGGTATTTAAATTATTCCACTTCTGGTTTTTTTTTTTTTTTAAATTGTATTTCAGTCAAAGTTAAATGTTTCTGAGTTGTAGCTATTTCACTGGATCAGCTATTTCAGATGAACTGCATTTCCCAACTAAGATGTGAAAATTGATCAATGTTAGAGTCAAGAGGATTTGGTCCAGGTCTTGGTAGCCATTACCGGTCAGGAATTGGCAGAACCTAATCATGTAGGACTTCCACTTCTCCTGATCGGGATTAAATGGAGCCAGCAAGATTTGTGGCGCTGCCATGGCTCTCGTGCTCTCAGCTCTTAGTGACTCCAGCTCAGTGACTTGCTCTGTTGAGTCAGGCTGGGTGGCGATGGTGCCACGAGGTTCTTTGCTGTGGTTCTTGAAATCCTTTGTCGCAGTGTTAGATTGGCGCAGGGAAAGAATATGCGAGCAGCGAATGGTCCGTTCAGCACTTTTATTAGGATGGAACAGAACTGCCGGCTGTGCTGCCGGGCTCGCCTTATAAAGGGAGTCGGCACGCAAGCCGGCCAAAGACAGATCTTTATATCTCCCACCGGTGGACTAGCCAATCCAGCGGGGATGCCCATATAAGGACATAACATTTGGTATGCTACAATATTACTTTGCTTCTTGTACTAGCCGCTAAATATATGACACTTGTGGGAAAGAAAGTAGATACTGTACTCAAAATATGAGCAGGCTCACACGAAAATAATATAAGAAATATTCATAATACTATACCTTACAGAAAGCGAAAAAAGAGTAGTCCTGCCATTGCTTTTTCTTAGGAGATAGCTTCCATCGCTGCCATTGGAAAGAAGAAGAGCCTCTGCTGCATGACGTGTGAGATTGTCATGATACCACCTAATGAGACATCAAAGTTCGTATTGTATTAAATCCATGCCTATTGCAACAAGTGTGAAGTCTCATGCAGTTGGGCATGATCAAGGAAGCTAGATTACACAGATTTCAATAACATGACTTTAACAGCAATAATAGGGACTTTCCAATTCTGCTTTTTTAGTGAATTCATTACGGTGAGATGTCTCAGAACATTTTGAATCATTTCTTTTCACGTTTGTTGACATTTGGATTTAGTTACTGTTTATGAAATGAGTTGTCAACAGATTTGTTTCTTATCTCTTGGCTCTTTATAATTGAAATTCCTTCTATTAGTTTCCCTAGAATCTCTCACAAAAAGTGACAGAGTAAAAATGTCATGAAAATCTCATAGGTGTAAGGCACACTGCAAAACAAAGACCTGAGAGCATATCTGACAATAATCCATGAGGATCCCTATCTATTATGACCCACTCCATTATGATCCATGTCGGATCGGCAGAAGGGATCAAACCGGACAGTCCGATGAAGCAAAACCCTGCCTTCTTTGTTCATCAAACACACATCCCAAAGTGCTAGGGCTTATGATGAAGTGGTATGATGCTGTTTTCATCATTTAATGAAGAAGTTGGAGCCTGAAGATGTCTACTCAGCCAGATTTGGGTTTCAGGTGGCTAAGCAAAGTTTGGTGGAACACCAGAGCTAACTTCTAGAGACGAATTAGTCAAATTATCAGAAAGAGTTGCTGATGCTAACTTGTAAATTTATGAACTTATATTATAGAAACAGGCAAATATGCAAATTATACAATACAATGGGCACCATGTGGTGTTTTTTTTTTTTAATGGCTATTAATAAAATGAATTTCTGAAGTGCAAGGCAAGGATAATCCTTACATACTATAAAGTAGCACTTTCAAAAAGGCCAGCCATGGTAAATTCCCTCCCACCTATGACTTGGATACATGTTATCATAAAATAATATGGAGACCACAGTATTTTTCTTTTAATGGTAAAGACAATTTTCTAGCATATATTATTACTGGGAAAGTGTTTTTGAACTGTCTTCTACAACTGCAAAAGCCAGAAAAAATGACTGAATAAGATTCTGAGAAGAGGTTTCTTTCCCCTTTCTAACATTATCGAAATAAAAAATAGGGCCCTGACTCGTACTGTACTGAAGCCTTTGGATTTCATTTCTTATGACCAAACATTTGGAATAACTGAAGCAGGGTGAAATGTAAAATTTGTTACTACCAGTTCTGTGGGCGTGGCTTGGTGGTGGTAATGTGACTGGGTGGGCATGGCCAACTTTTTTTTTTTTAACTTTTCAAAGCATTTTTTCTAATGCTTTGAAAAGCCTCTGCCGATCAGGCAACTCAGCTGGGATCGTCAGAGAGCCTTTTTAAAAAATACCTCTCTGACGATCCCAGCTTAGTTGCCTGATCGGCAGAGAGGTATTTTTTAAAAAGCCTCTCTGACGATCCCAGCTGAGCTCTGTGATCATCAGAGGCTTTTTTTTTTTTTACTTTTAAAACCATTTTTTCGTCAGAAAAGATTGTAGAAAAAATGCTTTTAAAAGTAAAAAAAAAAGCCTCTGATGATCGTGCGGCTCAGCTGGGCATGGGGGGGGGGCAGGGATTTTTGCTACTGGTTCTCCGAACCACCCGCCGCCATCGCTACCGGATCGGGCGATCTGGTCCGAACCGGGAGCATTTCACCCCTTATCTGAATGCAAACTTTTATTTTATTGTTTAAACAGTAAACATACTGTTGGAAGAAATATCCATCTGGGTTCAGTTCCAAGAGGGGAGAAAGACACTGGAAACATAGAGGCTGTTTGAAAAGATGGTTTAATGGCGGACAGGAACCACATGGGTTTTTTTGGGTCCTGGGCGAATGAGCACATGGGTGAGAGAGAGAGAGAGATTTATATCCTCTGTTGGGCTTTGAATTTGAGCTTCCTGTTCCTGTGGCAAGCTATTGGCTGCTGTATATGTCCACCACATATTACCATATGTAGTGGACATGCCCAAAAGCAAAAGAAACTGGACGAAAATACATACATGGCTGGAAAAAATGATAAAACAACATATAGATCTGAAACCAGAGATATTTTTGTTGGGCATTCTACCAGGAAAAATATGATAAAAAGACTACATACTTGATCCTGCATATATTAACTGCAACTAGAATTGTATTTGCGCAACAATGGGGAAATGATGAGATCCCACCTGAGGGGAATGTAATTAAGAAAATATTAGAATGTGCAGAAATGGACAGACTAACACTTATTATTAAGGATAAAGAAGAAACTGAATATTTTTTTATATGGGACATATTTTATAAATGGCTTAATAACAGAAACAGAAGTTAGAAAGGAGGAGATATAAAAAGAGGAAATGGTAAAGTGGAGAGTTGTTAAAGAAGATGATGTTAAGTATTAATATTATTATGTGATTATGTTATTAATATTATGTGATTATATTATTATATTATCAATATGATGGTGATGAATATCATAACAAAGATGTGTAATACAACTATTTAAACATAACTGCACCCAGAATATACTCTGATGAAAATTGAATGTTATATAAATAGAACAAATAAAACATGAAAAAAGGTGGGGGATGCTTTCAAAGAGCATGTTTCTCCTTTTCTCATCCAGGGAGATATAATATTCTGCTTTTTTAATATTTCCTATAATATTTCATTCTTCTAAGAGAAGGGTGGGTGCTAACTTTATATAATACTAATAGGGTCTTACTTCTTCATTACAATTTCATGCTTATTATTTCAATCTATGAAGTTATTCTTATCCCAGTTAGTCTCTCAAGAATTGGTTTGCTAGATGGTTTATCTGGCCCATAGTAAAATCCTGGAGTCATTTGCAGGATCAGATCAATATACTGCACATTGCTACCTAAAGTGGAACACATAATAACAGCCTCCAGTCAAAATACTCTGAGATGGAGAAGGCCACTCTACATCTTTCTCCTCCCTGCCAGGAAAAATACAACCCTAAAAATGTACAATTTCTTCACTCTTCGTCACAGCTCCTTAATGTGAGCAGATGTGATGAAATGTGCACCTGGAGGAGGGAGGGGGGAATTCCAGCAACAGCATCATGGTTTCCCAAGAGGAAACAGCAGATTTCAAAAAGAAATCAAACTGGATGGGGAGGATGGAAGAGGTTCAGCCTAGAATCTCTCAGGATATGTCTATTAGGTTAGAGTAGACAGTTACAGCTTTAGTCTGGGAAAGATTCTGTCCATTAGATGTAAGCAAATAAAGAATTAGACTCGATTGAATTTCACCGTGTCGGCTTTCGACTTGGCCTTGGTACCATCTCATTCTGCCAAGTAATAAGGCCAGCCTTAACTGTTGGAAACTATCATGGTAACTTTCTAAATCACTATTTCCTGAAGCCATCTCTTCAGGAAGTCTGCTTACTGGTCTGCTTCCTCTTTTAGAGAAATGAAGCAATCTACGTATACGCAGATGCATATTACAAATGCTGAAATCCCAGACCAACTTGCATATACCATTTCATACATGTCAGTTTGATCCAGTTAGGCAGTTTGCGTGAGAAGTTATGGTTAAAAATGAGCATTATGAAATGGAGGGGGTTTCACTCATTTTGTTGCTCAGTACGTGAAAGTAGTAAAGTGATGTGTTAGAATCTCAGCTGTTGCCCAAACTGCCTACAAAGTTTCCTAAATTCTGAGAACACCAGAAGAAACGTGCCAAAGGGAATGTCTAGAAGCCGTGCAGAAAAAGTCATATGTCAAAGTGAGCCTCTGACAGCACAGACATTCTTTATCAGGTCTCTCTCCTGCAGAATTGAATACTTGGACTGGGCCATCAAACATAACACTATCCCCCATGAAGAAAGAAAGAAAGAAAGAAAGAAAGAAAGAAAGAAAGAAAGAAAGAAAGAAAGAAAGAAAGAAAGAAAGAAAGAAAAAGAAAGAAAGAAAGAAAGAAAGAAGAGGAAGGAAGGAAGGAAGGAAGGAAGGAAGGAAGGAAGGAGGAAGGAAGGAAGGAAGAAAAGGAAGGAAGGATTGTAAGCTGTTTGGGACAGTAATGTTAGCAGGGTAAAGTCTCCTTCAAGCCGAACTCTACTACTAGTCCTGCTTTAGCCACAAAAGCCAGCTGTGTTACTTTAGGCCAGTCACTCTCTCTCAGCCCAACCCACCATAAAGGGTGATTGCTGCAGGGTAAATAAGAGAAGGAAAGTATACTGAATGTCTTTGCCACCCTGAATTACTTGTAAAAATAATAAACGCAGGATACAAATAAATAAAAATAAATAAATAAATAAGACTTAAATAAACCTATACCAAGTACCCTATGGAAGCCAAGCTACCACTGTTTATGTGTAATAATACTAAAATTAGAAGCTGCTCAAACTCTGTCTGTCCAGCATGCATAAAAAGATCAAAGGGTCATCTTTAAAAACACCTGTTGTTCCAAGTAAGCTCACTATGTAAGTGCCAGAACAAGAAATAGTTGAAGAGCAGATATCTGATGAATGGATACTATAAACATGCATTGATCTTATATAGTGGAAAAGTAGGGATTTTAAGGTTCATTTTCTGATGTATTTCGTGGGTATATAAATACAATGGGAGTTGAGACTTGCATGATTAGGTACAGAAGGACGGGAAAGTAACTGAGAGAAGGTTACTTGCAAAATGCAAATACGTTCTTCTCAGTTTCACTTTATACACAAATGTGTATAAATTAATGCCCTACATTAGACAGCATTAGATTAGATCTACTATTAGATCTGATCTTTATTTCAAGGCAGTGACAACATGATCTGAAGTGAGGAGATATTTTATTTTATTTTATTATTTTTTATTTAAAACATGGGTATATCCACCTGGCTTAAAATGAAGCTTTGGCAGTTTACAACCTAATGGTAAAAACTATATACACAAGTGAAACAAAAGTAGTAAAAGCAGATCACTCTCTGCTGATACTTGAGTTCTCTGGTATGCACTTCCCTGCAGGGAG